AAAACAGTTATTCTGTTTCTATAAAATTATATAATTCCACTAAATACAAAGACTACGACAACTTAAAGAAGATATCAAAGGATATCTTAGTAATTTTTTTAATCTTTTTTATACGATTTCCAGTATTATCCAGGTGAAGATATGGGTATAGTAAAACGTGGTTCTTTAGTTCCTCTGCCGAGGAAGAATTTGGTGTTTGAAAACGGCAGGATCAGTGAGTGGAACGGAAAATAATTCCATCCAACCCAATATGGATATCACAAAAGATTATTTAGAGTGGTTGCCTTAGAGCTTTTAGTTCAAATGTAGTTGTAAGGATTAAAGGTGTTGACTATAACAGTGGGTTTTTATTGCCGAAACACACTACTACTAAAATATTGTCATTTCTTTCATATTGTGTAAAAAAAACATTATTTTTTGCGTGTTTTGGTAGTGTCAAATTGTCGTTAAATTAATAGGATGGTTAGGATTTCAAGATGCTATAAATAGTAGCTAAAATATTATTAATTATGTTTCAATTGTATTATATATTTGTATGTTTTGTGTCTAATTATATTACTCATCTTTTAATTTTTTATCTAGATGTTGTAAATTATTTAAATTTGACATAAATATTGGTTGAATAATTTTATTATTTCTGAAAAATAATATACAGAGATTAATTATACAAAAATGTATCGAAGTGTTTCAATATTTTAAAATAGAATTTTTTTTTCTGTGATATGTAATTACAGCTAAAAATAAGCCTTGTTTTGTTAGCAGTAGAGTTAAAATTATTTCGTCTAATTTGAAATTAAAAAAAATGTAATAGCACACAACATAACACAAGAGGACATTAAGAACGAGCCGCCACTGATTTCTAGTCGGATTGTATATTATTTATAATTCATAAAAATACAATTTTATTTGCTTTCGAAAGAAAATAAACGGATTTTACTTATGTATTACCATTAAATGGAGTGACTACGTATAAATGTTTTGGTACATTATTTATTTTTTATGTAAATTGGTTGAATTTATGTTGATGTTATATTATTTTTAGTTTTTTTTTTTGCAAACAATGGTTGCTGTTAGGAAACGAAAACGAAATTATAGCCTTTTAGCTCTTTCTTTCTCTTTCTTTATAGATAAGTAATATAGGAAAGATTATTTAAAATATTCCATACTATAAAAGAATTATAATTTTTAAAACCAATCAGTATGTTTAATTGTAAATTATTTTAACGATAGTCAATACAAAGTAAACAGGATTTAAGTTGGCACATTGGTAACAAGAGAAATTTTTCACCCGACGTGCCAACTTAATGTGAGTTTCTGAGACCAAAATCTTTGTATAAAACAAATTGTAATCCCTGTCATTATGTGTTTAAAGGGAGATTTTGGACTCGGAAACCCACGGTTAAGCGTTCAATTTCTATGGTAGTTCGCCAATGGAAGCTTTATTAGTGAGAATAAATGTATTAGTTATGTTGCCCCTCTTATTTCTGTTTCCGACTACCAAAAGTTCGTAAGTGTAATCATGTCTATGTTAGACTATCAATATTTTTTTTCTAATGTCTAATTTTAATTGCTCTTCTTTTGCATATCCGGTTTTTGGCGAAAACAGACTTGAGATTGGCAACATTGATGTGTATTTTACTTAATTTTAGACACTAGTTTTTATTTAGGGCTAGTTACCGTCAATTTTAACTATTATTTTGTCAATTATTTCTTATCTATGGTTTAAATATTTAATGTTTATATTCGTTGCCATAAAACATTGCGCTTTTCGTAACTGTAATAGTGATTTAATGTATTATAGATTTTTTTTTTTTTTTGTATTTAAAATATTAGCAGATTTTTTTGGAAATTTACTAATATTTCTTTAACCATTCCAACTAAGCTCTAGGCTTGTGCTAGGATATGGTTTACGACAATAGTCGAATGGCGGGATTCGAACCACCGACCTCATGATCGGAAATCCGTACCCTTAACCATTAGGCTATTGACGCTTTTTATATTTGAATATAATATTATTTGAATATAATATGAATAAGGTTACACCTTACAAACAACTGTGTACTTTTAACGTTATTTTTTATTATATATTTGACATTTTAAAGCACTGTTCAATATTTTTTCGCCGTAACTTAAATATTTTCTATAGTATTTCATTATGCCATAATATTTTTATTTATAGAAAAAGCAAAAGTTTTATAATACAAAACTATTAGGCTTACTAAAAATCACAATTAAAAATAAGCGTTAAATGCTGGCTGCAATAAGCGAGATTATCAGCTTTTAATGTAATATGTTCCGTCCCTCTTTACCACTTTCATAATTAAAAGCATAGGATAGTAATTATCGCTATAACCAGGTTTTTATTGCGTTCGTATAAGTGAAAAAATATTTTTATAATATTAGACTTTAACTTTTTTAGTTCGTGTCGCACTTTATTCCTAACGAAAATAGAAGCACAGAGGAGAGGCGACTGTCTCCCTCAAATTAAAATATCAGAAAGTCTAATTTCCATCTCCTAATAGCTTTAATGTAACGCTAGTTCTGACTCTGAGTAGCTACATGATGTTGTATTGTATGAGTTTAGTATTAAACTACTATTTTATATCTTGAAAGTGTGTATTTATATGAGTAATATCTTTTACGTTCCTGTAATTTATCAATGTAACCGGTGTTTTTTGTTAGACAATGTTTTCGTGTACAGTCAGCGTCATATAGATCGTAACAGACAAGATATGCAAATATATAGGTACATCAAAAGTAATCAATTATATCGGTACAACAAAAGTCCTCAAAATAATAGATACATTCACCCTGCTCAAATACATCGGTACATACACAGCGTCAAATATATGAGTACATGCAAGATGCTCATAAATATCGTAGCAGCCACAGCGTCATAAGTAACGAAGCAGTCAAGGTGCGCAAAAATATCGGTACATTTGACAAAATTGAACTCTATCTCTATATACTTGTGATACAATTTGGAATAAACTACTTCTGTTACATTCATTTGACACTTTGCATCAAATCATTTTTCAAAATTTACTAAAAGTGTTCGACGCGGATGACAGATATTAGGTAGATAAAACCAACATCAAATTTAAGTTTGTCATCACATATGCTAGTTTGGTCTCGTGGCCTTACCGTTCGCCGCCGTTGGTACGTAAGGTCGGCGGTTCAAATCCCAAGCCACTATTTTTTTTGATATTTAAACTTTTTAATTTTAATATCGAAGCACATGTAATTAAACTCTATCGCCGTAGTTATTAGGTACTTTTTGATATTGCCTTGGACTAATGAGTTTGACCGTTAAAGTACTTTTCTATTTCAAACAAAAATGAAGGAGACAAAGCGATGCTATTGGCATGTAATTTGTTTATTACTCATGTTTGTTAAATTTGTACCGGTAAAAATAACACTTTTACTTTTACCTTTTACTGATACTGATTATATTTAAGAAACAAAGAAAAAAACTGAATGTCAATATCCAAACTACATCAAATTTTTGGTCGATTGCAATAAACATTCCAGTGTGCGTGGGCGCGCACACATATGTAGATAACACTTGTACGTATAGTTTCCGCGCGTACCATTCTTAAAACCCGCAAAGACAATCCACGCTCCGCCCACTCACTTCACCCGCGATGGTCTGACCTAATTGTTGTTAACTTTATTTAAATTTCTTTCTACCCGACAGCGAAAATTATAAAAAAAAATTGTCGAGCAAAATTTTACATTACCAAATTTTTACTGGTTATGAAAAAAAAACCCCGTGATTGATAAAATGAAAAAAAAAATTAGCCTGAGATTCGAACCGGTAAACTTACATATTACGGCAAACATACTAGAATACTGCGCCAAACTAGTATTATATATATTGTGACAAGGCAAAATTTGATATTAGTTAATACGTATCTGTCATATTCGGCGTGACAAACTTTTATATTTAAGCGTTATGACAGGAGAAGAAAAATATTGGGTTGCCCAGTAAGTTCGTGCCGCTTTATAAGGAAAATTGAAACCCTGTTCTCCTAAATTTTTGGAAATGTTTTTAAATTATATTGGTACGACACTATACCTAAAACGTCTTTTATTTTTGGCTAAAATTTTAAAAATTAGTTTTTATCTCAACCAATGAAATGAAATTATTCACAATATAGAAATTCCTGTGACGTTTGATAATGGTGGAAATCCGAAAATGAATCCACTTCAGCTACAGTCTATTGTAAGCTTTATATCGAAAATCAGAACGAACTTTCCGGACAACCTATAATGTTATTACAAAGTGTCAAATGAATGTAACAGAAGTAGTTTATTCCAAATTGTATCACAAGTATATAGAGATAGAGTTCAATTTTGTCAAATGTACCGATATTTTTGCGCACCTTGACTGCTTCGTTACTTATGACGCTGTGGCTGCTACGATATTTATGAGCATCTTGCATGTACTCATATATTTGACGCTGTGTATGTACCGATGTATTTGAGCAGGGTGAATGTATCTATTATTTTGAGGACTTTTGTTGTACCGATATAATTGATTACTTTTGGTGTACCTATATATTTGCATATCTTGTCTGTGACGATCTATATGACGCTGACTGTACATAATGTTCATATTCATTCCCAATTTTAATTATGTTTATTGATACCTAATAAAGTTATTGAAAATAAATTTTCATTTCTTATATGACCCATATTAATTATTTAGTGAGTCGTTATTTTTTAAGATGGGCAGAAATGAATTTGTGGTTATGACGAAGTCGTAGGAAGATACGCGCGGGGTACAGAATACGTTCTAGAAGGAATTGGAGATGACCCATGACTATGCGTAGTATTTCCTTAGATCTTGGAAATTATAGAGGTGAGTGAGAATTCGTTTAGAAATAAAAGTAATTTGGCCATTGCCTGGATCAATCTGTACTGTTCTGTATACTCTGTGATGTTTTAACAAAAATTAATAATCTATGGTGTTTCTGATTATATTTTGACATTTGAATTCATCAGCGAGTGAAGTATTACATTTTTTGTTTTCTTGAAATAAACAATAATAGGTCGGCAAACGCACAAAACTTTAATCTGGCTTCAAATAATAAATATCAATTGGAAAATATGGAAGTAGATCAATACACTAATGTAGGCAGTGAGTGGTCCTACTCCGGCGAAGGTTCGCGATTGCCACTTATTGACGAATCTTCAGCACTTGGACCACAGGCACCGAAAGACAGGTGAGTAATATCGTTTTTTTTATTGTATGTAGCTCTTTATGAATAAAACACAACATAATTTATTTGTAGAAACGATTTTTTCATCCATAACTGTTACAGAAATGTATCATGTATTTTACTTCCCACGCATTAATAAAATATTTCTCTATATGAAACGTTATGAAAGTTAGAACTTCTAGGAAAGAAATTAATGAAAATTTTGTTGTACTCATTAAATTCTAATAATTATAAAAAAAAATCAAAGTAAAGGAAACAATAGAATCAATTATATCAATGAGTGATCTAAATCAGAACAAAGCCTTCACCATATTTGGTAACAACTACTAAATGTAGCTATGAATCACAGGAGTAGCTAGTTTGATTCTTACTTTCAAATAAATTTATTGTTTCTTGTGGTATTTGCATAAAATAATTATCATTAACAAGATAACATGTCAGTAATACATTTGATATATGGTTTATGAACATTTTTTTCTGATATGAACATACATGTTGTTTACAAATTGGGACTGTATGGCCCTTTCATTACAACTAATGGATGCAAAATACCATATCATTAAAGCAAACATCTTGTACCATTTTATTTAATTTTTAGATTTTTATGTATATTTTATTAAAATAAACAATAGTTTGTGCTATTTCACAGACTAAGAATGCCAAGAACCATTAATTCAATAAATAATTTAAATTTATTTTCATTAACCATTGTTCCACTAGTTTCAAGTAACATTGTGTTTTGTTTTAATAAATTATTAACTTAATACAATTGAAAGGATTCATTTCTTATTCGAAGGCATCCAAGATTATTGTTATTATAGTTGTTAACACCTGTGTTGTGCTATTTGTGGTCAGACCATAGATATTTATTTAATGTATATGTTGGGTATTTATACAATTATCTTCTGTTTCAATCTCATGTTTATAATCAATGTAAAAAGGTAGGAAAACATAAAACTCAGTGTGTTATGGAAAAGTTTTAATTATAATAGTGCTTTTCATGTTGGAAAGAAATTTAAACATGACCAAATACCATAAATGTATGTTTATTTTTCTTGCATGCAATTTTCTGTTATAAAAATGGAATAGTTTTTATAATCTGTTATAGATATTGACAGAACTTTTTTGCTAAAAATTCTAGGTTTTCTGAAAAATTTATATTTACTTTGGGTTTTAATTAACTGTACATAAGGATGGAATGCATAGGAAGTAATTCAACTGCTGGAGTCAATGAGTCTCAACTGTTTTGCTTGAATTTGGATGGCTGCTTGTTTGATTGCCACCTTATAATATAAAAAAAAATATTTTGAATAAGGAACATTGTGTGGTGCAACTTAGTAATTGTTGTTGATGTCATCAGGTTGATTGCTGTGTTGGATCAGGTTGAGATGCGAGTGGAGAGGCTGCGGCGGGACACGGTGCGCATCGAGGAGGAGCGGGACTCATTACTCTCCACATTAGACAGTGTTAAGCACTCGGAACTATTGAGTGATATCTCTGAATGTATGTACATATATTATACATTTTGTTCATAATTGCTATATCTTTGTTGTATAAAAAAGCAGTAGATAAATATCATAATAGAAGGATATTTCAGAGATTTTTTTCCGTACAAAATAGTACTTTTTTTTTATTGTTGGCAAAAAGTAGCCAAATCAGTATACAGTGTAGATATTGAATGTTGGCTATGGTTTTTAGTTTCTTTTTTAATATTATGAATTGTGTAGGTGATAAAGAAGATATAACGAGGTACACGGATCGTATCCTTGCGCGCGCTATGACTGTGGAGGTGGCGGTGAGGACTGATCGTGACCCGCAGCAGGAGGAGGCCCTGCATCAGGTAATAATTAACATTATGCTAGCAAGCTATTATTATATTTGGGGTCTACATTATTTATTTTTAAAGTTACAAATGTAGTTTTGTGTAAGGAGTTTTTTATTTAATGCATATCAAAGGTGTCCATAGGTTTGAAGGTATCTCCAGGATGGATCCATGGATCTCGCTAATAATTGGCTTTGGTGTAGATTATAGTCTGAAAGAACTCATAGGCTACTTATTTCGTTTTTTTTTTCATTCCGCACGAACGGAGTCGCGGGCTACATCTAGTCATCTATATCTATCTATATATATAAAAGAAACTCGTGTTAATTACACTATTTATAACTCAAGAACAGCTTTACCGATATGGTTGAAAATTGGTGAGGAGGTAACTTAGAGCCAGGAGACGGATATAGGATACTATTTATTCTTTACCTTTTTTTTCGAATTTATGCCTTGAAGAGTTGCTTTTTATTTAACTTATCTATATATTAAGTTTTTTTATATATTTGCGCGGACGGAGTCGATGGCGACAGCTAGTTTATAATAAACAGGCTTGTGCTGGTTTAAAACAATCGTAATTAATTCGTTATCAGTCAATCATTGCTTAGTTTTTTTATAATGTAATTTAAAAGGTTTTACAATACAAAGTTACTTGTGTAATTGTTATGATGACGTAATCAATGCTTATGTAGCCTTGTTTATGACTTCTATTCTTTGTCTATACTCTGTTGGGATATTTGAAATTGCTTTTACATGTCTAATAATAATTGGTGACGTCATAATAGTAGATTAACCTTGACCTTTTTAATGAAATAAAGTCTATTACCAAACTGCAATTCGGAGAGTTCTGAGTTTTTTTTTATTTAATTAATTCAAAGTACAGTGGTGTAGCATTCGTTGTGCTATATTTGGCTCGTTCACGTACCGACACGTGTTGCCGGCTCAAAGGTCTGACATCGACTGACGTCCCCTCTCTCCGGCATGTACTTATGGCGTGTACGCTCGAGACAAACAACACTACGTTTATGCATACACTACATCCCTTCCTTTTTTTAATATATTTAATCTTGCTAAGTATAGGTACTTGTATTCTAAAACTATCAATTAATGGAATACAAGTATACATGAAATTCAATATCCTTAGTTTCTCTACACTTCTACATGTATATCCATTTTGTAAGTTTAATAAACTTAGATTCAATAACATTTTTCTATAAATTCACTTAATAATTATTTTCACAACAACTGCATAGATATTTGTTACCATCCTATACTTATCTTCCATGTTTCCATTATTTCTTCCTTCTATTTGCTCCACTTCCTTCCATTTGTTATTTAGAACGCGCCAGTGTCCCTCAATTCTTTTAAAATAAACTTATTTTCGTCTTGAGATTTGTCACGTTAAAATATTCCGAACTTCAATATCGCCATCAATACCTGTCTCTACGGTATGGGAAGCAGGATTTTAATTGACGCTTACTTTGTTATCTTTGTGTAAATTATTAATGTCGAAGCCAAATATCTTGCTAAAAAGATATGTTTAATAATTTACAGTACTTAAAAGTACTTAACAGTTTGAATGTATCCTAGGCGTGATAATTTACGCTAGTAGTAACAATAAAATTTTACTCCCTACTATGAATGTTATGCACTGTAGACACAGTACTAGTTAGTTGGAACACCAAAGGCTGTAACTGGTTGTGTGACCATTTAACTTGTTTACTTTTAAATTTTCAGATATAACTGTGCCCGCGACTTCGCTCGTACGAAATACTAACTTGGATAGCATTTCAATCACTTAGGCTAATCACTTAATATTATTAAGTTTTATACTGAAACATATTAAACCCACAAAATACTTGCACAAACTTCACATATTCCAATACATCAAAATCAGTCCATGACAATGGTCCCAGGCTCCTGTCCATCAATGTACCAAACCTCATCCAAATCGGCCCAGCAGTTCCCGCTTGAAAGAAGGTCAGATAGACAGACAGACAGCCAGATGAAGCCACCCTCGCATCAATAAGAATGTTCTGTCCCTATATTATGGAATAGTCAATGATAATTTTCTTTTTCTAATACATAACCTGAAAATGACTAACTCACTATGTTAACAATTTAATGTTTCTTTTCCTTCAAAGATGTTACATTTTCTATTGAATGAAGGTTTCAAAAGTCAAGACTTGTACCTTTTTTATATTTAATTACCAAATTTGTTTCCCAGCTTATTTGAGATCTTTCAACCCACAACACAGAGTCACTAACGGTATTTAATTTTGTTTAACTTGATGGACAGTATTTAAATGCCACTATAAGTTTTCAATTTATCAGATGTTCAACCTATATGTAACAATGAATTGCTAATGACTACTCTGAACATAGTAAAAGTCTTTTTCAATATAAGCGTAACATAAGTAAACATAAAGAGACAAACTCTTTGTCCCTTCTTTTCACAGGTCAGCAAATGAACTTGTCATTGCCGTTTATTCTCTAATTTTATTTACAATCAAACAGGTAGCTATTTCTGTGTGAAAATAGTTAAGTTATTTGTAGAACTAAGCGATAGCATTTTATTCTACAATCGTTTTTATTCAGCTTATAATAATCCAAATGGAATGCCATTTAAAAGTAAAATTATATGTCAACAAGATCTCTTTGATTTTAAACACACTTTTAGGCGGTGTGTTAAAGTCGTTTTAATAAGTCGATAGTGCGATTTTGGTTCAATATTTCATAAATCGGTATTTCTACTCCCTAAATTGAGTTTAAAACCGTTAAAACTTAATTCAAGTTGACTCACCAATTTTTTGCGGGTTATTGATAACAAAATCCAGCTTCAACATACTATGCGAGAAGTATGATATAGACCCGACTGCGACTAGTGTGTCCTCAGCGAGGAGTTGCCTAAACAGCGACTTTTACAATGATTTCCTCCATGACTTGGTCCAATAATTATGCTATAAATAAAGCTATTTCAGAAAGAAAACATTAACCTTTATTTATTCTATTTTACGGCAACTGTAGCATGTCATTATCAAAGAAAAACACGTTTACGCTCTTATTTTTACCAAATTAGAGCAATAAAATCAATTTCAGATGTATTTTAAATACAGAGTCATCTATCGCCGGAAGCGGAACTACTTATCTGTTTCACAATTATTGAATCGAAATTCGTTTAGTGCACAGTACATCACGAGATTTGAACTTACATATACTCGTAGTTAATAGTATATCTGGAACCTTCACCAATCCAGCATTAGCCACGGATTCGTTAATAAAGCCAATTATGATGACTTTAGTAACTGACAATATCATATTAGAAATTGTATGCGTTATACATTTTGTAAATATTATAACAAAACGTGACTAATAGTCAATCACATTTTATATCATATTGTACTACGTATTTTGTAGTAAGGTGCTTATAACAGGGTTAAAAGAATTACTTCTCAAAAAGACAAAGGAATAGTCACTTACTTGAAAACAATATCGTACAATGTACATAATATAGTCGCCATTGATTTGACTTAAAATTACTTTACTTTTTTACAAAAATCTAAAATGTATTCAGCTAGCTTAGATTTAAATTGATTAAATGAACTTACATTTATAAAGATGACAGTAACAACTTATAAAGCTGTACTCCTTCGTATGTTATACACATATCTCTTTCCACTCACTTTCGGCACAACAATTAACTTGCTCGCCGAGTGCTGCGTTTATAAATCTTAATTTAGTTAACAGTTTGCCTCACAGAGATTTTAGCTTTAAACTTCTTACCACTCGTAATATCAATTTATCGATTAGGGTTTCAATCTTCTTAATTTATGTACTTGACAACTTTTCAGGCTGTAAATGAACTTATCGATTTAACGATTAGATGATCTAACCAATTTAATGGTCAGCTGTGCTGCTTTCATGTCTGTAAGACATGACTGATCTAACCAATTTAATGGTCCGCTATGCAGCTTTCATGTTTGCAAGACATGAATCATCTAACCAATTTAATGGTCAGCCGTAGTGATTTTATACTTGTAACACTTCAATGATCTAACCAATTTAATGGTCAGCCGTGGTTCTTTTATATCTGCAAGACATCAATGATCTAACCAATTTAATGGTCAGCTATGCAGTTTTCATACTTGTAAGACATGAATCATCCAACCAATTTAATGGTCAGCCGTGGTGCTTTTATACCTGTAACAATTCAATGATCTAACCAATTTAATGGTCAGCCGTACTCTGTAGACAAGTGCGAAAGTTCTTCTTCTTCGTCGTTACAGTCTTGTCAGACTGGTGGTGGTCATCAAGTATCAGTGACCCGCTTTACCAGACGCTGCCTTTTTAGTACATTGGGTGGTCCAAGGTATTTTCAGCATTCTTCTCCAGCACCACATCTCGAGCGCGTCTATCTTCTTTTTCTCACTCTCTCGTAGGGTCCACGTTTCGGACGCATAAAGGAATATGGAGAATACAAGCGATCGTACAAGCCGAGTTCTTTTTTCTTTGCATTCTTTGCAATTTTTCCATCGCTGACACTTTATTGGAGGTGACTGTACCTATGCTATTGAAGTTATGTATACACATAAGGTTGACCGAGTTTAACATCGCCGAATGCTATTATCCATCTACACACTATTTGTCAACCATAGGTCGAAGACAGTCTTAAAAATGCATTTGATTATTGTTTTTGGTCGAAATCATGACAATATATGTATATGTCGTGGATATACTACCCTCGTAGTAATGTTTATTTTATCATTGTAAATGTTCGATATTTTCTTTTCTTAATCATTATTCATTTCCTGCTTCATCAATAGACCGGAATTAATTTGTCGCTTGCACATGTATTTCGATGTGACATCGTAGTTTACTTTGTAGTTAACAACTTAGACGGACGAGCACAGCAATGAATCTGTTTTTCTGATAGTCAAATATTGTGATCTTATTTCGATATTCAATTGGTTAAGTTTACATTCCGAACCGTTTTTAAAACATTCACGGCTGGGAACAACTTAAGGCCACGTTTTACAAATAACTATCATATGTAAACAGAGAAGATTGTTGCTATTTTTTGGCAATTCATTACCTACTATTTTTTTTTGTAAGGTAAGGCAAAATAATTTAAACAATACTCTCGTCCATCAATTACTGAAATGTTATTTTTTTTACACACTGGTCTTCTCTTTCCTTTTTTTTTCAAATACAATTTATTTCCGTACTCACGGTTTTATCCTCGTCGCCAATGTAGCATTCGTTGTGCTATATTTGGCTCGTTCACGTACCGACACGTGTTGCCGGCTCAAAGGTCTGACATCGACTGACGTCCCCTCTCTCCGGCATGTACTTATGGCGTGTACGCTCGAGACAAACAACACTACGTTTATGCATACACTACAAGTGGGAAAAACAACTTTTAGTTTTTTAACTTTTGTGTTTGTGTTTAAAATTGCTGCCAATATTTCGTAGATGTGTGAATGTAGTAGAAGCGAGAGAGGTATGTCAGGACTGCACTAAATAGGGGTCCGTGGTCTCTATCTACCCCTCGAGGTTACGGGCGTGAGTTATATCGGTGTTGTTATTATTTCCAAAAACATTTTTTAGATTTGCTAGACGTTGAACACATAATATTATCAAGTTTATAATTGAAAGTATTGCTTCATTTTCGTTCGTTTGAGTACGTTTATTTTTTGTCTAATTAAGCTATCTTGAACATAAGCGGACTGAAGTTTGTTGATTGTATTATATATTTTTAATATTGTAAACAAGTTACGATGAAATATTTTTATTCAATACATAAATATCTGGTTTCAAATAAACCGGATTAATTGATTACCTTTTCAGACTTTTACATCCTCATTTCACTTATCTTGTAGTTTCTTCAATTTTATATTGAATTTTACTAAACTAAAGAATGTGTTAAGTTATGAAAATAAACATTTTTAAGTGGAGATTATTATCTAACTTGAGAATTAACATCTGAGTAACACTTGTACGGGTCATTCAACTTTTATTCTTCGTCTTGTATAACTTCGACTTGTCAAATTTCGTGGCCTTTGTCGTATAAATTTAATAACAACAAATAGGAAAGATAATTAAGCTATCTCTTTTACATTCATTTTCTGCTTAGCCATCGTCCGCGACTTTGCACGGTTTTAAAAGTACTTAATTAGTAGCGTAGGTGTTCTTCCACTATGTTCCATATCTATTCTAAATTTCAGCGTCCATCCAGCCGTTTTGGAGATACCTTATAACATCCATCCATCCATCATAAGTAAAATATACAATTCAATAGATAATCTTATTATTATTGAACACTGCCGAAACATTGCCAAAACATATCTTTTTTTTTTTTCAAAAATAATTCAATAAAAAGTTTGAGAAAACTTACGAACAGATTATATTATTTGTATGTCATTTATATACAGCTCTTATGTCTTATTTTAATCATAAACACTAAAATCTTTTCACCTAAAGTTATGTAAATTGCAGACTTCGCGGCATTGATTTTTTAAAAGTTGGCAACCTTGCACAAAGTCGTCCATTGCCCCGGCACACCGCTGCAGGGACGTTCTTAACTATATCTCTTATTAAAATTCAAATTAATTATATCTCTCTAACACTGTTTTATGTTTTATTAATATTTTAAATTCTTCGCTTTTATAATCAAAATTAATTTTTACGTGGTCTTTGTCACATTCAGTCATTTCTAAGACACGTTGGATTGTTTTAAAGGATTAACTGCAATCTAGAATCTTTAAATAGTTACTAATGAAGTATTTAATATTGGAAGATTTTTTTCTTTTATTTTTTTTTATAAAATATTAGCAGATTTTTGTAAATTTACTAATATTTCTTTTTACCATCCCAACTAAGCTCTAGGCTTGTGCTAGGATATGGTTTACGACAATAGTCGAATAGCGGGATTCGAAACCCCGATCTCGTGGTCGGGAATCTGCACCCTTAACCATTAGGCTATTGGCGCTTAAATTAATCCATTAATTGAGAGTACGATTAAAACTTTTAAATAGAATATGTTACTCCTAAATTAATGCTTCTTATGGTAGAACATTGAAAACGGTTGTGTAGTGTAAAACTTTATCCATGTAACAAGCATAAAAACCTCCCACGGTACTTGTATGATCGATATCGTCTAGTCGAGGTCAACTCGTAATGTGTAAATTATTATTATACTTTTTTACTCTAAGTATATTATAAATAACAACAATGAATTATTTTACTCGCTATTAATATCGAGTAGAGATCTGAATGCTTCAGGTTCGATCTTCGCCATGTACCAACGTGTTTTTCGAGTTACGTATGTACTGTTAGGAAGAATATCCGACACTGTGTCGGTGTACTGGCGCAACACTAGCCTTGAGGATAGAGGAATGCTTTATGCATACTCCGCGCCCCAGGGGTGACGCGGTAGCTATACCCACTAAACCTCTCTGTTCCTCCAACGCATCGGGACGGGGCCACGGGCACGCTTTCGCTCTCGTCCGCGACCGACATTTTTGTCCCCTCACTAATCATTCTGACAGTGGACTTTGTAACGAAAGCGCGTCATTCGTTCCAAAGGATTCTAACTAATGATGTCTAAAAGTACCTAAACTTTCTTATGGTAAAGGAAAACATCGTGATGGAACTAGAAGATTTCAGCGCTGAAATTCAAAGATATGTAAAGTCAAACAACCCGTACTAAGCGTGGTTGTCTATGACCTGATCACTACTCGAACATAATATAATTGACGATGAGAGGTCTGAATCATACAGTGGTTTCAAGATGCAATCCAGTCACGAACATATAGTACACAGTTATTTATATGTTCACACAAGTACCATAATAGCCAATTAATTCTTATTAGGTCATGCAATGTCAAACGAAATGTTATAAAGGAATTTATAAAAGGTATTTAAGTATATGGCTTCGTACACGCCAACTACGACGTCCGTTAAGGAAAACTGCATTCAATACCTTTATATACAACGATAATGGTCTGCTTCATTCAATTAGTTAGGTGTAAAGCATCAAATATCATTTGCATATATACGCACGTGTAGAGACACGCTTTATCTTTTGTTGTTACGTTTGAACGTTTTCATGGGTCTTGTTTTTAATTCGTAATGTAAATGAATGGGTTACTTGTAATGTCATGAGTGTATTCTGCAATGGACAATTTGGGTAAAGATTAATTATTTCTTGTTTTTAAATAAACTCTTATCTTTTAAAAAAAGTGTTCAAAGATTATGTGTTCTTTTGTACACGGTTTGTACACCTTTGGATTTTGATACCTGAAATTCTCTGTATAAAACATTTCGTCATACCTATTATATCATTTTGGTTTCGGAAACCCACGGTTAATGAACATATTAGTACTTTGGTTGTTTTTGTTTTTCGTTATCGATAATATTATCGCGATAAGATTACAGTTTAATTTTTGACGTAAACGGAAATGAAAGTAAATGAAATTATGTCGTAATGTAAGCTAGAACAAACTCTGAAGAATCTAGAATTATTATGATTCAGTTCTATAAAACATAGAGGCTAAAAACTAGTTCAAGGTGTATGGAGATTAGTTGTCTGATACAGCTGTTAATATTAATACTTTGAATTGTATTTACGTCTACAATATACGATACGTTATTTGTAATGACATGTTTTAAAGGAACGTACCCATACTACGTGACCTATTTTTTAGTTTTCTCTAAGTTTTTTTTTTAAAGACTGCATACATACTTAAATTACAAGTGAATTATGAAAAAGAACAACTAATGACTACGTGACAAAAACGTGAGCCACCCCATGCTGTGACTGACCGTAGTATTTTAAAGACTCCGCTCCCCCCCTAAACGGGTCACGTAGTATGGATACGCTCCCTAACCAGGTTTTTTATATGCCTACGTTGTTTTAGCGTTATCAAAAATATTTAGTTATAGCTGTTTGTCGTTATTTTGTGGTGGAAGCAAAAATTTTTGATAGCATTCATGTACGACTTCGAATATTCTTTTGCTGAGATGTAAAAGTCCCTACATTACTTACTACTTATCTACTAATATTATGAATGCAATTGTTGGATGGATGGATGTTTGTTAGTATATATCTCTAGAAATCTAGGTCTATGGATCTCGTTAAAATTTGGCATAGATGTAGAATATAGTCTAGAAGAACATATAGGCTACTAATTAAGTTATTTTTAATTCCGCGCCGACAGAATCGCGGACTACAGCTAGTGTAAGACGACAGACTTCTAACAATATTTTCAAAAATCCCTTGTTACCTTTTGCCATAGTTGCGATTAGTTCTAAATTCGACGTATAACGTTCCAGGTGAACCTGTACATCGACCAGCTGGTGATGTCAGTCCACGAGGACGCGGTGATAGCGCACACGCGTTGCCAGACGTACATGAACGCGTGCACCTCGCAGCCAGACCCCGCCTCCGGCACCGACAAGAACTTTGAGTCCGCCATCCTCGGCTGCACACTTGATGACCAGAAGCGCGTCAAGAAACGTCTTCAGGGACTCCTCGATTACTTCGCGAAGCTCAATGTTACCACGTGTTCGTGAATTAATACGCCTATATCACTGAGCGCATGCTATGCGTGTGTTTGGACTTAGTCTGTGGCTTAGTGCGTGGCTTTACGTGTATTGCGTGCGTGGCTTGCGTACAAACACGTACAAATTCCGTATGTAAATGTTGCTACGTGTTTATCATTATTTATTTTTTTATTATTTTCCTAAAGATCGTACCTTTCTGTGTTGTAGTTTGTCTATGGTGATTTCATATCGGTGGTGTTATAACTTTGATTTTAATTGCAATGTAAGTTTTGGAAATTTTTCAATATTGAAAAATTATCAATCTTATAAAAAAGGATGTTTTGTGAAATTCGTAAAGGTAAGGCCATAATTTATTTTATAACTATTTTGGTCTTTTTAAAAGACCCAAAAAAATGGACTTTAATCCAATTTCTATGTTAAAATTACATTCTCAATTTCAAATGGTACAGCATCTTATGTAGTACTTTGTCTAATATAACTTTGTATGTTTGTATTTGCTTCTTGTAGCAAATGATATGTATATATCCATTTAATTTTATGAATTATAAATTTCTTATAAAATTATCATTTGAGATAAACACAAAGAGCTGAACCCTCTATAAATGATTGTCGAAATGTTAAAAATTTTACTTAATTTACCAAAATAACTATCATCGTAATTATTCATTTTTATTTAGTATTTAAAAAAGTGTAACTTTTAAATAATTCCTTAATATATAGTTAGAATGAAAAAATAATTATAATCATTTATCAGACAGACAGACAGTTTGTCTGTAAATTGTATTAAATATTTATCAAACGAAATATTTGTCTTAAAATATCTTAAATTATTCAAACTTTCGTGAGACATTATACTAAACTGATATATAAACACGGCTAAACACTCACGTATATTCGTCCGGCGACGGCAACGACTAGTTTCGAGCTCATCGGGGGCCCTTCATCAGAATGAGTGGTAATGATACTGTGGAAACTTGAACAACAACACCACCGACGCTTTGGTATCAGCTCGCGCCCCACGCCCCCTCAAGACGCGCCCTAAGAGCGCAGGCGCGCAGTGAGCTGAGGGCCGCGTCCGCGAAATAATACCAGTGCCACTCATCCTGATGAAGGGCCCCCTGATGGGTTTGAAACTAGTCGGTGCCGCCACCGGACGAATATACGTGAGTGTTTAGCCGTGTTTATATATCAGTCTTCTACATTATCTTTGAAATAAGATATGTTTTAAGACATGTTTTATGAATGAAAACTCATTGAAAGAGTATAGATACTTTGTGATGCTTTTAAAATGCTCAATTGAAATAACATTGATTGAATAGTATTATAATGTGGCAATTTGTTTTGAAAAATGTCTACATTTAAAATTAGTCATAAATATATTGATTATTTTGCATAAATTGGATCGTAAAAATAACCTTAAAATTGTACGTTATTCGCATTTTCTTTCTATTCTTTATCACAATTGAATTAAAAATTTTAGCGTAACTTTTGTTTTTATATATTCAAATGCGAGAAAAGTGATAAGTTTATATTGATCTATTTACTTCTGATTTTTGTAAGTAAATATAAACATAAGATACGAAGCATCTCATATTATTGGCTGTATATCGCTTTAGCACGCGTCAGTACGCGAGTCAGTTTAAAATAACACTCTAACTGCCACACTCAGTCACTGAGTGGCCACTGAGTCCTTTAGTGTTGGTTAAATAAGGTAAATGTACACTAAGGGTCTCTTGTCACCGATTACCGACTGTGCGTACGGCAGAAAGTTTTGTTATGTATACCTGCTACTTAATACCAAATTATATTTTTAATTGTTATTCTAATTTGACAATTTTTTTTAATAAATTTTCTATATTTAAACTTAACATTGTGTTTTATTCATGTTAAAGCTGGCTTATGATATTTCTTTTTAAATGGCTTGCTTTAAATAAAAAAAAAACTTGTGGAAAAAATAATTTATTGTAAATATTTAATTACAAATTATTTACAAATATTCGACGTGTCTCGTAAGTTTATAGTAACTTATAAACGCGTTGACTTTTTAGAAAATTAACAAATATCTATTTTAATATATAAACTAACTAAAATTTAAAAAAATAATTAAGTTTTATCAGAGATATACTGTCTTTTTCATACTGACAAAGTTTAAAACTGATTCAACAAGTTAAGGAACAATATTAGTTTTGTGATAAAAACAATATAATGCATTAAAGATAATAATAATTGTCTACAATAAGAACAGGAGGGAATGCATTCGCTTCAAAGCGATTCCATAGCGAACTCCTAAATTGTATGGTACTGACGCGCGACAATCACGTGACATATCGAAAGTTCGACACATTTTTGAAGTTCGTTATGGAATCGCTTCGAAGCGATAATCACTCTGATATTCTTAACAAAGCCAAAGTTTTAGTTCGATATTTATAGTAGCCAGTTAGTCTGTGCTTTTTTAACGTATAACTAAAATCTAAAAGGTAAGTTCCATTGCACGTTGTATATTTATACATTAACGGCTAAGTTTATCTTATATGTACACAATAAGTACATAAGCCACCTCTTACATCGATTAGTGACCAATTTATTACTAACCTATCAGAATACATTTAAAATAAATATTTTTTTTTGATTTTGATGTATCATAAATATAGAAAATAATAATTTAAGAATTCCGTGTCACAGTCCTCGTGTAAATCGTAATGGCATTGAATGTGTTAAAACTTTTTTTTTTGTCATTTAAAATTTTTCCAGACAGTATCATTACAGAAAAATTATAAAAAACAGTTACTGGCCGTATAGAATGATTTAAAAAGTTACTCTAATTTCAATGCATCCTTTTTATTTGCTTTTTTACACAATATATTTAATGTCATAAAATACATTATAGATTTAAAAAGAAACTATCAAGTTCCTGAATTGAACGAAACATAATATAAATATATTGCCCATTTGTAATAGACAAATGGAATAAAAAGAAACACGCTGTATCTTTAGAGAGCTAAATTAGAGTATTCTGCAGGCGCTCTTGAGGACGTTTCTCTTCTTGCCGGGGCGGTGTTTGGCGGGCCGCAGCAAGATCGTGCCGTTGCTATTATGATTTGTGAAACTACCTGCAAACATATAACAAACATGACATTAATATTGAAATATATATTTACGTAATAAATATTTAAAATGACATTTATCTATCTTTGACAGATAGGAGTCATTGACCCGCACGTACAGTTGGTTTCAAAGACCAAAATCTGTATAAACCATATCGTCATTCCTGACATAATTTTTGACGAAACAGAGATTATAACGGAGAATTACGTCTCGGAAACCCACGGTTAGTTGTACACTTAATACGAAATTGTTTACCAATAACTGGAGTTGTGTTGACGCTGGGCGCGTCGTCGTCAGCGCGCATGTCGGCGAGGCAGCGTGCGGCGAGTGCGCGGAACACGGCGCCTACGTTCACGTCCTCTTTGACAGAGGCGCGCATCAGCCGGCAGCCCAGAGCGCGAGCCACTAACTCCGCCTCGTCACTGACGACGTAACACATATATTGATAATGAATACTAACAAAGAAATGTATCTTAAGTTTTAAAATTCGGGGAAAGATATCAAAGTTAACTTCTTCGATCAGTCATCTGGAGACACAACAATGCACACAAAACGATTATGCAAGTCCTTCGTTCGAATAAATGAGCGCGTATCCGAATTCGCCAAAATAGCGTAGTGACAACTGGCAATAAACATCAGCAATTGCAGATGCATTGCCTATTTTTAATACTCGTACAGAAAAAAATATTTTTCATTTCTTACCATTTCTTTCTCTTTGAAATCCACTTCCTTCAGGAAAAAGGAGGGAATAATTAGGCCACCGGAACGTATAATCAGACGAAATGCGGAATTA